ATCGCTTAAGGTCAGGAGTTCAAAACCAGCCTGACCAACTCTGCAAGACTCTTGTCCCTACTAGGCCCCCAAATAAAACCCACATTGTGCAGGAACTGATATCTCTGCAAGTGGATGGGGCCAGGACACAAAGAGTCACGGGTCAGGAGAGGAGGCGGAGCCAGCCCTAGCTGAGACTGTCTGCGGCCCAAGCTAAGGCCAGAGCAGGAGAGGCAGGAGGCAGGGCCTGGTCATTGTGAGATTGCAGGGAAAGGGCCGGCCTTGAGTGGCCAGGGGGAGGAGTCAGAGCTAGTCAAGGTCAGGGTACCACCTGGGAAAACAGCGAGGCCTGCTCCCTGGAGTGGCCAAAAGGATCTATGTGCCAGGCCACACGGGGGCGCCCGTCGTTGCCAAATGTGTCTTCCAGGAAGCGCAGCCCAAGTGTCATCTGGTCCACAATGGCGCCGTAGTGGGTGGTCGCTTCATCGTTCATCACCCATCCACCGTTAGCAAACTCTAGGCGACCTGTTCCAGCAGAGGCAAAGTCAGGGTCAGATCCGGGGGGTGGGGCCAGGGTGGGTGATACTGAAGATGGCCTGCATGTGTGAAGATGACTGGTAGAAGCAAAAGAGGGGTCTCTTCCAGGCCAGTATAGCTGGATATAGGAAAGAAGACCCCTGCATGTCAGGCTTCTCAGAGGATCCACTGGAGGTGGGGCCTTGCTGGATGCATAGAAGTTCTATACATAAAGGGAGATCTCATGCAGGCAGAGCGGCTTGCATGTACAACTGACATGGAATAACACAATCTCAGAAACCAGGATTGCAGAAACAGAAGTTGGGCTGAGCTTCCTCTTTTCACTTCCTTGGGGCAGGCTCACCCTGGCGCACCAGGTCCCGCACCACTTCCTGTGTTGAATTTGTCTGCTGATGCCACCAACGAGAGAAGAAGGCTATCTCCACATAGATGAAGCGGCGGGTGGGATCTGCCAGCAGGGCAGGGATGACTGAGTCCAGGATACACTGCACACTGGCATGCTGGATGTTTCCCTTGGCTGTGGACACAGAAGTCAGGCTGTCAGGGGCCAGCAGAGCTAAGAGGGATACGCTAGACAAAGAAGCTTGAGTTACGCATTGCCCCCACCCTGATGTCAGAACCCAGAAGGGAGTAAAAGGGCCATGGGGGAAGCGGGTTCTAGGAACCAGTCCCCAATTTCTACTCACTGCCATAGTAGTACTGGTCCACCGTTTTGAGCCAGCCCACGTCGTCATGTGTGTGGGCCACCAGATGCACATTGAGCATGTTCGGCTGTACTGTGGGGCATGTCTGCACAGGGACCCCAAACATACACACCCTATCAGTAACCCTGGAGTTCAGAAGCAGGCTGGGGTGAGAGTGGGGATTGGTGGAGAGTACTAAGTCAGTCTTGATCTAGAAGTAAGTGACTCAGAGAAGTAGGGAGACCTGATCTGGTCTATGTGCAGAGAAGGCTGGGCCCTTCCAGACAGGACACCACACAGTTGTGATCACAGATACAACTCCCACTTTGCACAACCCTACATGGCAACTCTAATTAGCACCCTGGGAGAATAATAACAGTAGTAGCTGATATTTGGTAAATATTTGCAAAAGCCAGGCAACCTCTTGGTGGGGGGGCCGGAATAGTATCCCGAATTTTCATATGAGGGTACTGAGGCTCAGATGGGTGGTGACTTGCCCAAGGTCAGGCAGCCATGAAGTGAAGGAGGATGATGGAACTCTGGGCAGACTGACTCCAGAGTTCCAGCTTTCAACCAGCACCCACCGCCGTACACATACACACTACTGCTCACTCCCAGACCCTCCATTTGCACAGTTAAGTGCATGCAAAGTCCAGGCAAGGGACCCACACACACACACACACACACACGTATGGAGACAGGTACCATCAAACATTCCCATACTCAGATGCGCACAGCCAGACCTCGCAATGACACAAGGCATGCACTAAGCATTCACTCAGCACCCACTGAACAGACTACTCACACCCTAGGACTGCCTCGAGTAGGTTTCCGTTCGCAGGCCTCGCTCACCTCGTATCCCGCCGCCCAAACGCAGGGCGCCGCCAGCAACAACAAAAGAAAACAGAGGAGAGACGGGAACGATGACCGCAAGGCGCGGGAACTCGTCCAAGGCCCCGCTGTGCGTTGGCTGCCGCCACAGCGGACCTCCGAAGCCCGCGTGTTGGCGTCCATGGCTCGGCGGCGGCTTCCTGAGGGTTCCGGAGCCCCGGGAAAAGCAAGGCAGACACCCCGCCCGCTGGGCGCGGCCTGGCCAATCGGCGTCGGAGGGGGCGGGGCGAGCCGGCGGCTTGGCGGGTCATGGGACAGAGGCTGCAGCTCTGGCCAGACGTGGAGTCTGTAAGAAATGTAGGAAAGCACTGGATAGATTCAACCCTCAGGTGATAGTTTGGCCCTCAGCGCATTTGGCCTCTTGCCAGTTTTATGAGGCCTTGGAGTGCGTCCAGTCCCCGCGTGACAGAACTGGACACTCATCAAACCCTGCTCCTAGCCTGCCTCTTTGTGTGGGTGGAAACAGGTCTGTTTTTCAGGGGGTGCCGTTTTCCTGAGGGCTAGGGTGTGTTCATGGGATCATAGGAGTCCCATCCATCTTAAGGGCTGGGGTCGGCTTTTACATATACCCATACATACAAACACAAGTTCATATATACACAAGATCATATATTCCTGTGTTAAATTTGAATTCTATGTGTGTCTTAGAGCCAGATATTTGAATTCACCTTTTGGCTACCAGTAGACGAAGAAATATGTCTTTAAAAGAGTGTTAAACAGTGTCCACTTCAAATACTTCCGTCAACTTAAAGAAAACAGATAAAGAAGGCCCTGCGCGGTGGCTCACCGGTAATCCCAGCACTGCGGGAGGCGAGGCCAGCAGAGCTCCTGAGCTGACCAGCCTGAGCTACAGCGAGACGCTTTTAAAAATACTCGGACTTTGTGGCAAGCGCCTGGAGGCTGAGTCAAGAGAATCACTTGAGCCCAAGAGTTTGAGGCTGCTGTGAGCTATGACGCCACTGTACCCTACCAGGGGCGACAAAATGAAGCTCTTGTCTCAAAAAAAAAAAAAAAAAAAAGGAAACATAACGATTTTTTTTTTTAAGTAGAGTACTGTGCCATCGCAGCTCACAACAACCTCAAACTTTTGGGCTTAAGTGATTCTCTTTGCTTCAGCCTCCCAAGTAGCTGGGACTACAGGCGCCCGCCACAACGCCCAGCTATTTTTGTCTTTGTTGTTGCAGTTGTCATTGTTGTTTAACAGGCCCGGGCCGGGTTCAATCGAACCCACCAGCCTGAGTGTATGTGGCCAGCGCCCTACCCATTGAGATACAGGGGCCAAGCCTATTCTCTCTCTCTCTCTTTTTTTTTTTTTCTTTTTAAGACTACTCAAGTGCAGTAGTGAGAAGGCGTAGAACAAGTTGAATCTGTAACTGACTATGAATAATCAAGTGAACTGGCTTGGTGCCAGTAGCACAATGGATACCGCACCAGCTACCTACACAAAAGTTGGTGGGTTCAAACTTGGCCTGGGCCAGCTAGCCAACAATGACAACTGCAAAAAAAAATTGCCGAGTGTTGTGGCAGGCACCTATAGCCCCAGCTCCTTGGGAGGCTGAGGCAAGAGACTCACTTGAGCCCAAGAGTTTGAGGTTGCTGTGAGCTATAACAACATAGCACTCTACAGAGGGTGACAATGAAACTCTGTCTCAAAAAAATAAATAATTTTAAAAAATAAAAATAATTAAGTGAACTAATAACTCACTACCTTTGGACTACCCTGATTCATCTTTTGACAAATGTGCTTTCAATTTGTGTATAAGGGCCAGATATACAACTTTGCCTTGTATCTAATAATAGGTAAAGGAAAGAGTTTTGAAGCTACCAGGAGGTATCTAGCTGGTTGGAGACAGATCCCTGAGTTATCCAGAAAGGAGGGAGGGAGGGAGGGACTGGCAGGTGGCAAAGGATCCGGAATCTTTTTTTTTTTTTTTTTGATACAGTCTCCAGCTGTCACCCTAGGTAGAGTGCCATGGCGTCACAGCTCACAGCAACCTCAAACTCTTGGGTGTAAGCGATTCTCTTGCCTCCGCCTCCCAAGTAGCTGGGACTACAGGCACCTGCCACATTGCCCAGCTATCTTTTGTTGTTGTTGCAATTGTCATTGTTGTTCAGCTGGCAAGGGCCGGGTTTGAACCCGCCAGCCTGTGTGCATGTGGCCAGCGCCCTACCCACTGAGCAACAGGCAGTGCTGAATCTTTCAGAGCTTTCCTAATTCCTACTAGTACATCCATGTGATATGGTATGTATATATGAACTTGTGTTTATATGTATGCGTATATATGTAAACACTGTGTGTATGCACACCTCACCTTCATCAGACATCAAACCCCACACATGGCAGAACCCCCATAGTTGACCACCTCCTTACATTGACCATCTCCTTACATTGACCTAATTTTCATAGACAGGATATGGACCACATGTACATATCAATACAATAGGCCTAGTTCTACAGTCCCTTAGGTGGTCAACTTAGAGGTTCTACTACTGTATATGGGTTTCCCTCATGGTTCCTGGCTTATAACTCCTGCAGCCCTTGTTACAGTCTTTTGTTTGTTTGTTTGTTTGTGGGGATTTTTGCAGTTTTTGGCCAAGGGCTGGGTTTGAACCCACCACCTCTGGCATATGGGGCTGGCACCCTACTCCTTTGAGCCACAGGCACCACCCCAGTCTTTTGTTTTAATGTTGGATCACTTTAGGCTTTAGAAGTAGGCCTCAGGAAACAGCGTATCTCTGTCTCACCTTCTCCTGCCTTCTTTTCACCTGCAAACAGCAGGACTCTGATCTGATCATGGGTCTTATGACCCTCATTCCATAGAAGATTTTGTCTCATATCCCTGGGGAAAGAAATGCTGTACAGATGGCTGGGCGAGGTGGCTCACACCTGTAATCCTAGCACTCTAGGAGGCCGAAGTGGGTGGATTGCCTGAGATCACAGATTCAAGACCAGCCTGAGCAAGAGCAAGACCACCTCTCTAAAAAACAGCTGGGTGGGGCGGCACCTGTGGCTCAGTGAGTAGAGCACCGGCCCCATATTCCCAAGGTGGCAGGTTCAAACCCAGCCCTGGCCAAACTGCAACAAAAAAATAGCTGGGCGTTGTGGCGGGCACCTGTGGTCCCAGCTACTTGGAAGGTGGAGGCAAAAGATTCGCTTGAGCCCAGGAGTTGGAGGTTGCTGTGAGCTGTGATGGCATGGCACTCTACCAAGGGTGACAAAGTGAGACTCTTGTCTCAAAAAAAAAAAAAGACTCTGTCTCTACAAAATAAATGAGTAAATAAAAACAAAACAGCCAGGCGTTGTGGTGGGCACCTGTAGTCCCAGCTACTCAGGAGGCTGAGTCAAAAAAAATCGCTTGAGCCCAAGAGTTTGAGGTTTCTGTGAGCTATGACACCACAGCACTCTACCAAGGGTGACAAAGTGACACTCTGTCTCAAAAAAATGAAAAAAAAGAAAGAAAAGAAATGCTGCACAGAAAGGCCAGGAATCTGGACAAGTCTTGCTGAGTCTCCATAATCAGTCAGTGTGAGATCTAATCTTTATTGTCCAGTCACATTTCTTCAAACTTATCAATTGTACATATATAATCAAGCCTCCACAAAAACCCATAAAAAGCCTCCATGAAAAGAACAAGGGGGTAGTGCCTGTCACCTGTAGTCCCAGCTACTCAGGAGGCTGAGGCAAGAGAATTGCATGAGCCCAGGAGTTTGAGGTTGCTGTGAGCTGTGATGCCATGGTACTCTACCCAGGGTGATAGCTTGAGGCTGTCTCAAAAAAAGAAAAAAAAAAAGGAAAAAAGGGCGGCACCTGTGGCTCAAAGGAGTAGGGCGTGGGCCCCATATACCAGAGGTGGCAGGTTCAAACCCAGCCCTGGCCAAAAACTG